TTGGAAGGGCGCTGGCATGTCACCTCTTCCCACCTTCTCCTATCAAATCCTCTCTCTGGAGAGGTTCTGCTTCTGCTCTACTCCCTCGGGTGTGGTCCACAACCTAAAACAACAGTACCTCTCGGAAAAACATCTTCCCAAGACGAAGCTCAACTGGTGCCCACAGTGTTCTGTGTAAGTCCCTTCTTCCCTCGGAGCACAGCAGTAGAGCAGACTCAAATATATCAGTACAGGTTACACAGGAAGGCTGCTACAACCCAGATAGCTATGCCTACCTCCAGAGTTTCCGCCTCAGTAGGTCTGGGGTGACTAGCAGCTGGTTGATGCCAATGTGGCCGGTCAGAGGACCACTTTGAGAACCACGGGCATTGTCCTAGTCTGACAAGTATTTGCAGAGTCAGGATTAATCACGCTAGCTGCCTCAAGTCAATTCCCAGCTCTAATTCTTTCCAGCTGTGCAATCCGGAACACGTCAATCTCTCCAAGCCTCAGTCTCTCCATCTGTAAAATGGATATAACAATGATGCGTCCTTCACAAGGTTATTGCAAGGAAGAGTGAGCTCCTGCGTGTAGAGACTTCAGGAAGTGCTCAATGTTCATGAGTTGTTATGATTCAGGGAGTTCTAAAGCCCCCGGGTCATCTTCTCACTAAGCTGTGCTTCTCAAACCCCAGAAAAAAACAACAACAACATCTATTGTCACTATTGAATGAGTATCCCAGAGATGAAGGCAAGCTTCAGAGCACACGAGTAATTAGATAATGACAATGAGCCAAATATACCCAATCCCTGAGGTGGGGGCTGGGAGAAGTGGAGGCCCCCTAGAATCTCCCTGTAGGGAAAGAGCTCAGGATGTGGCATCACAAGCTCAGAATTTGGATCCAGGCTCTGCCAGTGTTTGGCCAGGGAACCTGAGACTCAGTTTCCTCATCTGTTCATGGGGATAATAATGTTCACCTCAAACTAAAGGAGCTGCCAGATTGTTTGGTAAGCTGTGGTCCTCCTAGCTGTGAGAAACCCAGCAGCTACCCAAATATTTGTGTCCCTTTCTGTTCCCGTCAATTAAGGTGCCAACGCTGATAAGCTGAGCCCAACCAGTGCTCCCTGCCCCCTGGCTGTGCTGCCATCTGGATTTGGTTACTTAACAAACCTTCATTTCTGAGAAAGGCCAGGTCACTCCACTCGAAACCATACTCCCCGGCCTCAACCTCACCGTGTTTCCAGGGAATGCCATGGGTCTATGTACCCAACTGTAGGTCAGTCCAAAAAAGAAGTGATTAGCAAAGGCTGGGCAGAGTCATGGTCAGCTAGAGCCACAAAACCCACAGGAGACAGAGGTGCATGATAACGTGTCTATTTCCCTTCCTCTCCTCTTTCCTCCAAGAAGTCAATTTCGCCAGTTACTGGACATACCCTGAAAGAAAATCCCACAGGAAAGCAGCACAGATTGTGTTTATCGTTTTGTTCCATTTCTCCTGTTTGCTCAGTAATCCTGGTAAATAGCTTTGTGCAAACAGAAACCTTTTGAAGTCTATTGAGTTCTCTCCCAGGACACTGACACCTCAATCTTCAGGTTTGTGTGTGGGTGGAGAAAGCACTTTGGCATGAAACTTCCTGATCAATGGACATGTAGCAAAAATGAAAGAACAGCCACTGGTCATTTATTTACAACTGACGCTGACAGTAGCGGTTCCTGGGTGTTGGGGATATAAGAGAACACAAAGCATAGCCTCTGTCCCCATGGATCAATACCTAATCAGGGAACATTCTAGATAACACACAGAATTAACTGCAGAGAATTTGGCCAATGAGCACTGGCTCCTTTTTAAGACATATTGGTCAAAGTGTGAGTACAGGAAGGACAAGTCTTTATGAAGATATCCACCTACTTGTGTGATCGGGGTTTTTTTTTATTGTGTCAGAAGAAATTATAACTGTAAATCATTTCCAGAAACAAGTAATGGAAATAGTTCATCTAATTCTTCTAAATTGGCTACACTGAACAGCTATTTGTGTATTTATTCATCCGCACATTTAGTTAACAATATTCTTTGGGACTTTCTATGTACCAGACACTAGAGATACAGACATGAATCTGACTAGCGCTCTCTCTTCAAGACTTCTCAGTCTAGTGGAGACACATAATTACTGTTGGATGATGAGTTAGGGGAAAGCAAGAATAACACGATACAAGGGAAACGAAGAGTATACAGCCCGTGTTATGTGTGTCGGACAATGTGGCTAATGCCTACTGGGGCCGTTGCAAGTGCTTTACATATATTCACGTAAGCTTCACAACAACCCCGCCAGGCTAATATTCTAAGCTCCATCGTACAGGTGGAAAAACTGAGCCACAAACATATTCAGTTACACAGTTAGTAAGTGCCAGATTTGGGAGCCCAGGTGATTTGTAATGTATGTTGCCTCTCCAACTAAACTCTCTGATGAGCAGTAAGAGATTTGGTGACAGCTCAACTCTGCTATCAGCTAGATCATCTTGCCCTACAAAAGCACCCCAAGACAAAACCTCTTATGTAATGGGACTTATTCCAGGTGGGAGAGACTCCAGTAAGAGTGTTTCCAAGACTGAGTGCCAAGAAGGGTTACTGACTTCCTTGAGTGGTGGTCAGAGAAGCATCATCATGTAAAACAAAGATAGTAAGATGGAGGGACAAAATATCAGGTTCCTGCCCCAGCCTGGCTCCCTCTGGCCATGTGACCTCTGGTAATTTGTTGGATTGCAGGTTCTCCTTTCAGTTCAGTGGGGATATCAATACCAACCTCAGGTCATAGTTTGAAGGGCTTGGATATGAGTGGATTTTAAGCTGCCATATGGATGCTATATATATTTTTATATGTTTTTATTTATTTTAGAGAGAGTAAAGGAGAGGGAGAGAGAGACAGAAACATCAATGAGAGATAATCACTCATCAATTGCCTCCTGCATGCCCCCTACTACTAGGGATGGAGCTCACAACCTGGGCACGCGCCCTGACTGGGAATCGAACCGTGACCTCCTGGTTCATGTCATGGGTCGACACTTAACTATTGAGCCACACTGACCTGGCCGGATGCTATGTTTTTTATTATCATTATTTGTTCTGTCGTCATCAGTTGTTGTCATCATCATTGTTGTCATCAAAGGCTTGGCCCACAAATATATCAAGATGTATTTGTTGAGTGTGAATTAGTCTTAGAGGTCAGAGTCCTAAGCTCAAGGTCATCTATTCAGTCCCAACCGAAAACCCTAGAGAGAAAGAGATCCTGGCAGGGTTTGGGTCCGGAAGAGGACATCGGCAGAGCTTGCTGACGTAGTATGACCTAGATACTCTGAATGGGCACTTTACAAAGACCCACAGAACTCTGCCAGCTTAGAGTGCCCAAGCTGCCCCACTGACCATCCCTGAATCACCACACACAATGCCATTCAATGATTCTGCGTGGAGCACGTGTCACCACCATTAGCTAAGGTGGTAATAAATTCTTTATCAGTATCATTGCAGTTTTATAGCCTTTTCCCAACAGTGTGGTATTTTCAGGTCTTCTTATCTCCCAGCCCAAGTCACATAATCTGGGCTCTTTTCATTCTTCAGGCTATGCTGTCCAGCAACGGGCTTTTCTTGCCTATGTCCATGCACGACACGGGCTGGCATGCTCTGCAGCCTTAGCTCCAATTAACTCTCTGTTTTGTTTGATTTCTAGCCAAAAGCCAGCAACTCCCTGGGTTTTACTCCCAGTTGCTCAAATAAATAAGCCAAATGTTAATTTGTTGCTCATTGATTACGGTTAAGTGCAGAGATGTTGTCACCGGAAATATTAATGTTTTTTTAGGAGCCCGCGGTGGCACCATAGTGGTATTGGGTTTTGTTTTGCTTTGGTTTACTGGGGGGGATGGGGTGGGGGATGCCCCTTTTTCAATGTCCATTATCTCATTTGATTCTCTGAAGAGCTTGGCAAAGTAGAAAGAACAGGAATTATGATCTGTATGTCATGGGGTGGAGGAAACGGAGCACAGAAAAGTTAGGTCGCTTGCCCATGGCCACTCGGCTCAGAAAAAGCTAACGCAGCTAGAACTCGGGCAACCTGACCCCCGGTTCAGCGAACTTGGGAGTGGCTCCATTTCCCATATGTCATCATGTGGGATAGTAATAATTTATATAATATGTTTTCATAGACAATTTCTGGGTTATCCAGAAGGCTTTCCATGTGATCAAATATGTCAGTAACATGCTATATACTGTATCACTCTGTTGGAGGTTCACTGTGCTAATGAGCCGATGAAAGCCTCTGAGAAGTCCTGCTGTACGAGATGTACACATTTTTGTTGTTGTTGCTTGTTTGTTTGTTAATCTTCACCCGAGGATATTTTTCCATTGATTTTTAGGGAGAGTAGAAGAGAGAGAGAAAGACAGAGAGAAACATCGGTGTGAAAGAAACACATCAATTGGTTGCCTCCCACACAAGACCCCACTAGGGAGGAGCCTGCAACCAAAGTACGTGCCCTTGACTAGAATCAAACCCGGGACCCTTTGGTCCACAGGCTGATGCTCTATCCACTGTGCCAAACTGGCTGGGCTAGATGTACACATTTTTGATCCAGAATTGTCCGAACACATTCGACCATGAGGAGGCAAGGGCAAAAGCAGAGACCATGTGCCAACAGCAGGGGTGCTTGGGTGCAAAGGAAAACTGCAAGAGTGAGAAGAAAGTGGATCTGGACATATTTCAGGGGCAGAGCCCACCACATTGCTGGTGGACAGGATGCAATCAGGGAAACTATCAAAAAGAGGAGGCAAGGAGGAGTCGGAGACGTTAGGTCTGAGCAACGATATGAAGAGAATGGCCACTTCCTGCGGGAAGCTCTCCTGGACTAACAACCCCACCCTTCCATTGTAGTGTCTCACTGCACCAGAACCCTTGTCTTCAGAGGCTGCACAGTTTTAGTTTGATCACTGTTGATAAAAATTTTGAAAATAACTGAGCTTATAATGTTTTACTTACTGAAGTCCGCCCTCTACATTTTCAGGTGCCACATCCATTGATTCAATCAGCTGCAGATCAAAAATGGTCTAAAAAATAAAAGGTTACATTGTTGTTAGGCTTAACTATATGTGGACTATGAAGGCTCACAATGGTTGCATCTGTAATGAACATGTACAGACTTTTTATTGTCATTATTCCCTAAACAAAACAGTGGAACCATTTCCCATATGTCATCATGTGGGATAGTAATAATTTATATAGTATGTTTTCATAGATAATTTCTGCACAGCTCTCACATTGTTTTAGGTATTGTAAGTAATCTAGAGATGATTTAAAGAATACAGGAGGATGTGCATGGGCTATATGCAAATGTTGTGCCATTTAAAAATATATATATATATTAATTTTTATCGATTTCAGAGAGGGAGAGGGAGAGAGAGATTGAAACATCAATGATGAGAAAGAATCATTGATCGGCTGCCTCCTATACACTGGAGATTGAGCCCGCAACCTGAGCATGTGCCCTGACCGGAATCGAACTGTGACCTTCTGGTTCATAGTTTGATGCTCTACCATTGAGCACGCTTGTTGGGCTATTATTCCATTTTTTATAAGGGGCTTGAGTATCTATAGATGTGGGAATCTCTGGAAGATGCTGAAACTGATCCCCTGTGGATACCAAGAGACGACTGTACCATGTCCCCAGCTTCTAGCACATTGTAGGCACTCAATCAATATTTGCTGAATAAATGAATGAACAGAGACTTGAAAGCAGTAAATGCTTAACAAACTGTCGATCTCCTGTTACTAATCAATCTAGCATGCAGGTATGATTAATATTACCAATCAATTTAGCAGATGGTGGGGAGTTGGAGGATAGTGGAGGAGTCACTACTGACGGTTAGGAGAGGATGGTCAGAAAAATCTAGTCTGAACGGGAGCCCTTGGGCAAGTCCTTTCCCTTCTCTGATTCCAGCTCTTCCAAATCCCACTTCACAAGGGGGAGGATAATATGATTTCCATTAACCCTGCATCCTTGCCGCCCAGGGGTCTATGTGGAAGCCGTGGCCTGTGGCCTTGGAAACGTGATGTGCGACACTGCCCCACAGACCACGTCTGACTAAATGCTCTACCAGCTAGCGCAGCTTAAGTCCTCCAGGCACCAGAAGAGAGGGATGCATTGGGGCTGGAGTCACCAGGAAGGCTTCCTAAAAGATTTCCTTCCTCCTTCCGAGACCTTGAATTTCAGAAGTTGGTGATATTCAGTGGGGAGGAAAAGCATCCTTTTTAGTTTTCATCACTCCCAGTCTGATTGGCAGGACTACAGGCTTGCCCCTTACCTGCTCCCAAAGGACCACTGAGCCAAAGCCCCTGGCTCTTCTAGACTTCACTGCTCTCTGAGCCTTGCCTTCCTTTTCTCGTCTAGTTAGGAATAGACAAAGATACACTTCCCATCTGGACCTTTCTTAAACCATTCACCCAAAAGGCTGGTCTCAGGTTCCAGGATCTGGGCAGCATGCTTGGCCAGAGGCCCCGCCACGGTGCATGGAACAGGCCCACATGACTTCCCTGGCTCTCGCTATGAGGGCTCTCCCTGAGAAAGCTACTGGGCAAGTCATTTTTGGTTTCAGTTCGTCCCTTTTTCTTTTCCACTTGGTCGCCCAGGGTGACATCTACCCTGAAAGTTTCTCCCCCGGGACCATCCACGCCAGCACAGCTTGCTTGTCTGGGTGCAGATGTTCTCAGCCCCCAGTGCTTCCTTTCCCCAGAAGAGGTCACTCCTTGATTAAGAAAACTAGTAGTTTTACCCCAACCTCCGGCCCCCCGCTGCCATTCAATAAAAATGTCTTCTCCTAGCGAATAACCAAAGCCCACATGGCCATTTAATCTTTACTAATGTTTTCACCATTGATTTTATCATCATTGTTATTCTGAAAAAATACTCATTGCCCTGTGTGGTGATTATCACATCAGTCTTTGCAGAGATCTCAGCATGACAATCATTTTATTTCCTCCTCAAACTGACACTCTTGCTACTACTGAAGGACAAAGACATGAACTAGCTTACATCAAGATTATCAACTGCATGCCTGGCTGGTGTAGCTCAGTGGTTGAGTGTCTACCTAAGAACCAGGAGGTCAAGGTTCAATTCCAAGTCATGGCACATGCCCAGGTTGTGGGCTTAATCCCCAGTAGGGGGTGTGCAGGAGGTAGCCAACTGATGCTTCTCTCTCATCATTGATGTTTCTATCCCTCTCTCCCTCTCCCCTCCTCTCTGAAACCAATTAAACATATTTAAAAAAAAAAAAAAAACTATCGACAGCAAAGGTTAGCAGAAACCTTTGGTGTTGAGGCCTATTCCTGATCACAAGTATTGAAAGAAAAGGCATCAATCAGGGTTTAATGGGCTGGCCACCTTTCTAAGGCAGGAGTGAAAGGCTGGAACATAGTAGTCATTCAAGGTGAGAAGCACCATCCTATAAAGACGGACAGATAATCAGGGAGGTGATTTGAAAGCCAGTGGCTGGGCTAGCGGGTAGCTTAACATTCTTTTCATCTCCAAGATTCCCAGAAAGTAAACAATGGCAACCAAGCTACAAAGACAATGGCAGCAGAAAAGCCTACCTAATCATCATGGGATGGAATCAAAGATCAGGCCATGCACCGTTGATTCTTTGTCATTGAATGAAGTGCCTGAGGTACTTAATATGTCATTCTGAGTTTTTGCTTTCAAGTAACATGTGGAGAAAAAGAATGGGAGGAAAGAGGGCAGGTAAGTGATTAACAGAGGCTCACAGCAACCAGAGGTTTAGAAAACCAGAACCATTACAGTCTAGGTGGTTAAAGAGGGAGAAGTTCAACAATGATCTTGGAGAAAAAGGGAGAATGGAGTTGAATACCACTATCAAAGCTGCCTTAGTTGTGAATGAATTGCAAGTGACCACTTAGCCTTGGAACATACACTCGGGCTTCAAAATCCCAGAAACAAAAGTCATATAACCAAGACCTTACATCTGAGAATTACCCTTCACTCATCAAATTCCAGCAGATGCTAGGGAGACCACACCCAAGCCAGTACGCACCAGAATGACAGAAAGCTACATTCTCATCAAACAAGATCTTACCATTGGGAACAAGTCTCATAGCTTCAACGATTTGGTTTCTTGGCAAGAGCCAAAAAATGCTGAGTTCCCCTCCCTGGAAATGGCAGAAACCTGGGAGAAGTCATAGGCGGGGAGGGCCATATGCTCAGCACTCTTCTGCATGACACAGGACTTACCAAAGGGGTGACAGAGATTTCATAAAAGCTTTATAAGCCACAGTCGCCTTCATAAAGACCAGCTGTTGCCATCAGCTCTGTAATAAAGGCTCAACAGAAAGGTTGGGCCGGATTCCTTTCTGTGTTTCCCAGGTCTTAGAAATCCCTAATAAGTTATCCTTCCTCATTACTCTTTACTCAGATCCATAGAGTTCCACGAACATGCAGAGAATGATCCGTAGTGAGCCTCCAACAAAACTAGGGACTTCTTAGAAAGTATTGCCTGAAAATTGTGCTGGGGTTTTAAGCCACAATAGCTGGTTATGCCCCATGAAAAGCTCATAGGTCGACACCTCTTCACCTGTTGCCCGCCCCCCCCCCCATCCTGGCCCCATCTGTCTTTTCTCCACTCCCCTGCCAACACCACCATTTAGCCTCGTTCCCTAAGAAAAAAATGGCTTCTTTCTGAAACCAGAATCCAGTGTCATTGGGAGGTATGAAGACTGATAGATAGGACAGCCCAACAGTATGGAGCAGAACAGAGGGACACATGGAACAAGTCAAGGGCATGCGGGACACTGCTCCCCTTAACCCTGAAGCCCCAGGGAAGTTGGTCCCTTTGAGCAGATTCTTCTCTCTGCCCTGCATCCTTTCTTATGTGTGTCAAGAAGTTTAAAAAATGGGAAGTATGGTCGTAGATTTTTGGAGAGACTTGGTAAAGCCTTTTGGAAGGACAATTAGGCAGCACTTATCAAAAGCCTTAAAAAGGCATGTCCTTTAAATTAGAAAGACCAGTACTAGTGACTTATTTCATGCTCACAATTTGGTGTATGTATGTTCATCACAGAGTTGTTTTTAATGAGGAAACATTAGAAACAGCCTATAGGTCTACAAATGGGGATTTGGTCAAGGACATTCTGATATATTCACATTATGTCATACTTAGCAGTCATTCAAAATGGTTTAAAAATATTTCATTGATCTGACAGGAAGTTTATGATATATTATTAAGTGGGAAAAAAGATTTCAAAATAATAGTTGGGATAGAATTGCACTTTTTGTTTAAATATATAACAAATTATAACAGTTATATACTCATAAATTTACCCATTACGAATATGATAAAAATTTGTGGAGTGATGGAATTGGAAGAGCTTGGTGTAAAATTCCTGCGGTGGTGATGTTACTGCCCGAAGTTTTGGCATTTTTGACATGAGGTAATTCTAAGGCCCTGAGCATAGAAAGAAGGTCTTTTCTGAAGTGGGAGATCCTTCCTGCTGTCAGTCCCCAGGAAAAAGGTGTGTCTCAGAAATTAAGCATTAAAAAGAGAGATTCCCTTGCTGGGTCTTTTGTCCTCAAAAGTATATGAGACTCATAACCCTTGAGAGTGAAATATCAAGGTATTCTCAAAGCTTAATTCTGAGTCATTTTGTTTGTGCAATCCCTTAGGAAGTTGCAAAATCTTTTGTCCTTTTGATCTGTTCTGGGGAGCCAATAATAACGATAGTAATAACTGCCGTCTATGGGGTCGGGCTCTGCGTATCCATTTTCTCCAGGCCTCCCCCAGCTGCGTGTGAAATGGAAGGGCACGGCCCTGTGTTGCAGGAAGGAATAGCTCACATTTCTGAGCATGACACTGAGCCGGACCCTCTCCTCAGGCCTCTGCACAGATCCTCATCACAACCTTTAGAAATAATGACATCACCTCCATTGCACCACTGAAGACACTGACGAGGGGCAACAGAGAGACCAGTGACTTCCCCAAGGCCACACAGCTTGTTCGTGGTGGACACAGAATTCAGTTTCAGGTTGTTTAGTTCTAGAAGC